ATTTATAGATTTGTGTATAGATTTTTAAGGTTTTACTGGAGATTTATGAGCATCATCTGTCTTAAAATCTGTGTAGCATATTCTTCTTGTAATGCTACTAATTGTACGTTATTTTCTAAATGTGTGACGAGTAAAGTCATACAAGTAAAGCAACTGATACTTTTTGAAACTATGTCACATGTTTATATGATCAGGTTCCTAGTTATAATATTATCTACCAGGTTTAACTGAGGTTGTTTTAGTCAAGTTTAATTTGTTGATGAATTCACATAGAATGCTCCAAATAATTTGAACACAGTTGCAAAACTCAGTAGTTTATATTTAATTTTAAAGACAGTTAGATTATTGTAGAAAATATTGAACTTCATTTTAGAAACTGATTCACTTTACCTTATGCAAAATTTTGATAATGGAGTTAATAGTTTCAGTTAAGTTGTTGTGTCAACATGTAAGTTGATCATTCCTTTAACCATTTTCAAGTAGATACAATTGTGCTATGGTGATCTAAGAAATTTGCCATTCTGCTGTGCCTGAAACTTTGTCTCAACCTGAGTCATTTGATGAAAAGGTGAGCAAAGTTTCAGGTGTGTCAGTGTAGCAAACCGGCATCCACTGTACAGGTATACAAACATTTTGTGTGGAAGCTTGACAAGTCTGTTTTGTTTGTTGTTCAGAAGTTGCATTATTAAATAAAATTTTATATGGAGTAAATTTTCAATACAATGTTATGTATAAATAAGTGAGCTTATGCAAGAAGTAGCTATTTGTGCATGTTTGATTCAACATGTAATATATGTTTAGAGCTAAATGACTTGAATTCTTACTCCACAGTTAGACTCAGCTCAAACTGTACCTGACTGGCTAATTAAAAGATGATAATCACTGCCAGAATATTAGTGTCAGTGAATAAAGAGTGACTTGTAGTGCTTTATTAAACTTCTCAAGCACTAAGTCAGATTGATGTAAAAGGACATTGGAAAGACCAGTGATCTTAAAATGAGTATCACTCTTGCTTATTGTAAGATATTAAATTATGTCACCTCACCTATGATAAGATAATAATGTATGTCATATAACCTGTAATAACATTATACTGTTGCATTGCTTTATAATCACTGATAGCTTTTTAGTTTTAAGTCTAATGGCCACCTAGAAATTATTTATGAGGAAGTATAAAGACTTTACTGACATATGCATCTTCATTAGTTCTTAACCTGCAGTCTATACACCTGAAGAATTGTCTTTACTGACATATGCATCTTCATTAGTTCCTAACCTGCAGCCTGTACACCTGAATGATGAAGTATAAAGACTTTACTGACATATACATCTTCATTAGTTCCTAACCTGCAGCCTGTACATCTGAAGAATTGTCTTTACTGACATATGCATCTTCATTAGTTCCTAACCTGCAGTCTATACACCTGAGGAATTGTCTTTACTGACATATGCATCTTCATTAGTTCCTAACCTGCAGCCTATACACCTGAAGAATTGTCTTTACTGACATATGCATCTTCATTAGTTCCTAACATGCAGCCTGTACACCTAAATGATGAAGTATAAAGACTTTACTGACATATGCATCTTCATTAGTTCCTAACCTGCAGCCTATACACCTGAAGAATTGTCTCAACCTGTAACTTGAAGCTAGGTGAGCAAAGTTTCAGGTGTGTAGACCACAGGAATAAGTTCTTCTTTTCTTCTATTTCAAGTTCAACAGTATTTCATAAATCATGTGAAATTTTGTCAGTTAAGCCTTATTTATAACTTTTGGATATTAAGGTTAATAATACTGTTCATTTTATTTTCTCAATCATTTTATTTATTAAGCATTGTTTCACCAGTAACAATTTGTAATCAAACATTTCCCATTTATTTTATTCATATAATTAAACATCTCTCAGAGGAAAAAATTTTACCATACAGATATTTTTAATTATAAAATATGATTAAAGGCAGCACTACCAACATTCAGTATAAATTTCATAATTCATTCCAGTAAAACCAGATGATTAAATCTTAATTGTTAACCATTTCAGTTAATTAATTACTGTGAAATAATTTTCAATTTATTAATATTTCACTTTTGATATTTCTGTAATAATCTTTCATATATCTAGTATAAGTTGTCTGAACACTAACAATTTCTTCACCTCCATTAAATTCAATTAATTTTTTTTGATTCCTCATTCTTCAAGCACATCCTTGCAATATAAAATCCCAATACTTTAAAGATAATCCATTTGAGGATGTTTGAGTTTCTCCTTCATTTAGTGGAACTAATCATAGACTTTTACAAGTCAATCCATAGGCTCCATGATAACCCTCAAAACATCAACCATGCACTATAACTATGCACATCTAAAGTAAAGTCGTACACCATAACAATCACAACTAAGTTAAACCTTAAAGAACTGTTGCAATCCAAGCCAATTAAATGTTGTGATTACACTGTGGTATCTGTGATAATTGTACTCAATACTGCGTGAAATTAATATGAATTCAACCTGTTATCTCATACCTTCTGAGTTGACATAATACAGTTCACTATCGAAGAAAAATTTCTCTGAAACCAATCAAGTGGTGAACATGTGGCTTTCCCAGTTTTTGATAGACTAGGAGGGCTAGCCTTTGTAATGAAATGGCAACCTTACTCATTTATTAAAAGGTTATAATATTTTTGTAGAATGTAAAATAGTTAAGCCTTTATTTTTAATAAGATTGAATTTGTGTACAGAATATAATCATTAATTTTGTAACAAAATTTTATAGACTATTTTCTATATAGTGTAATATCTAGGGTATTCAAACTTGAAGATTTAAGTTGCAGCTGTGTTGGCTGGTATATGTAAAAATTTCTTGATCTTGTTTTGTTACCCACATATTAACCTTGGGCCAGCTATAGTTTAGCAGTTATAAGAGTAATGGTCAAATACCTATATTTTATTAGAGTAACACAAGAGTTTACTGTGGGTGCTGTTGATTAGCTGCTTTCTCTCTCTCTAGTACCTCAGTTCAAAATTATGGAAAGTTAGCACAGATATCCCTTGTGTAGCTTCATTAGAATATCTGAAACAAAAATTAACCTTGTTCTCTTTACTGAAGCTCTATTTCATCTTTTAAGAAATATTTTCAATAGTATTACAAATTATGTGTGTGGAATATTCTAAGTATAAATAAGATAATGTTAATTTAGTGCATTTCAGTCTATTATTATATGTTATATTTTTAACAAAAATAATACAGAGCTTGTGTAATCTATAACTTTTCAGTCACATCTCATCTTGTGAACAAGAACTGCAAACTTAAGTGTTACTGGAATTAATCCAGATATTGGTAGAATAAACTTAAATCAGTTTTACACTGTACCAATAAGTAATCAATTAATGAAAAAATAATAGTAATAACCAAAACATATATATAAGCTTTATTCTTTCATAGATTAATGGCAATACGAAGCTTCAAAGTTTTATTCATTACGCTTAGAACTAATTTCTGTAAACTTTGGTTTAGACCGTACTAATCCAAAATTACATTATATTATGTATTCCTTCAGTGGTTTTAATTTCGAGATTGGCATATTATATGGTTTCTCATACTTTAAAATCAACAAAGTAAGAATTCTCTCTCACTTACCATGTCTGTCTGTTTTAAGTTTGCATAGGTTTCCAAGTTCCAACAATTATATTTATCGACAGAAAACTAGTATTCAAGATTCTACTTTGAAAATATTTGTTCCTGCAGGATCATTAACAGGTCAGAACTAAGTATTTTTAAGTACCTTTCTAATAGTATATGTTGAATAAAGCAAATGGTCATTGTTTTTTATCTGAAGAAGGCTAAAAGTCAAAAACTAAGAATTCAGTCCCCCCTTGTTTTTCATGTACATTTATAGCTTTTCACATATTATTATTGTGCAGTAAGCAGTCTTCTTTTCTTGTTATTGTGTTTGAATTTTTGGGAATAGTAATGTAAGCATTATTTTATAAAATACTCTAATAAAATTATTAGATTGTTTTTTAGAACCTTAGATAAAGAGGTAACAAGAAATATACTTTCATGTATTGTTAAATGGTTGGTCTGCTGTATAATATTGAGTAATGAATTTGAGAAAATTTCATAACATTATTCACATACCTAAATTAAGTGCTATAGGTGAAGTAAAACAGACTCAAAACCTCATAAGAATTATATTTGTTTTTTAAGTTAGGAAAAAATATAGTTTGGTAAGAGAGGTTTTATATTTGCAAACTAAGCACATAAATGTAATAAATATGGATTCATTTCTTCTACCTTTTGAAAATTATCAGACACTTGAAAATGTATCATTTATGAGTTTCTGGAAAAGCTGCACAGATGGAATTTTATAAAGCCATTAATTAAGCTGTGATTTTTGGCAAATTTTTATAAATTTAACAGTTTAAGTATTAATCCAATTTTCACACTTGGATCTTTGAACATAAGTATATTTTTCAAATCAGCAGTTTTATTAAACAGAAAGGAAAATTCTGTGTTCATTATAACTAAAATGTGTGAGACAAAACAGTATTAAGGTATCATAACTGTAAACAAAAGTTAATCAAACCAGTATGAGTAAAGTTTAATTTCCTAGTATATTTTTGAAGTTTAGTTTAAGTGTGAATAGATTAGTATGAATTATTACAAAGGAAATACTACAAGAGTAATTTTGTATGGAAAGTCATATCAAGGGCTTGTATATGTTAGGTTTGGGTTTGTGTACAAATAGTATTAACTGAATTTTTGTTTGTTGTAAATACATTAATATATTTGCTGAACATGCACAAAGGCTATTGCTGTCCATAAAATGACCATTTTGTCATTTTTTGTAACCCTTCTGTGTTCATACTATTGTATGACATATATTTGACAGTTATATATATGACAGTTATTTGACATATACATTAGCTTTATGTGAAATTTGATATAATAACTTTTAAACTATAGATTTAATGTTTCTATTTTTTGTTGGGGGAGTTGCTTCTTATTTTAACTTTTAGCTGTGTTAACTTTAGAATTCTACTTTACTGAGTATATACAAACCAAAATAATAATAATTACCATCATGTATCATAATGTCCTCCAAAGTGAGTACTGTTTTATAATAACTTCAGCATTGGCATAAAATAACTGTTTTATTAAAATATTTTAAAACATTGATCCAAAAGTAGATTAATGAGCAGTGAAGCAGATACTTTGTGTATTTTGAAATAACTCCCTACGAGTCTTACTTATATGATGTATGACAGCATTTTTATATAAAAATTTGACATTCAAACTCGTATTCACTTGTAATAATACCTTTTTATGGTTCCCTTTTTTATAGGTAAATAAGTTACTTTACTTTGGCAGTTTTTAAATAAAGATTATGCTTTCATATTTCAAACAGAAAGAGAATTAATCCATTGTAGATCATTAGTATTTTACATTGCTCTTGACATACCTAAATTCAAAAATTTTTTAATGTATAATTGAAAATTTTCTTATTAAAATTTCACTGGTATTTTACACTGTTCGTTATATGTCCAATTTAAAAAAGTTGTTGGTATGTAATTTAAGACTTTCTTACAAATATTCTAAAGAATCAAGCTTGCTTGTCATAGATTGAATGGAATAAATTTGTGTGTGTACAAGCATTAATTTTAGTACATGTTGTTATGAGCTTTTTCCACACACATACACACAACTTAAAATTGGGAACAAAATGTTAATGTATTTCAAAGTACTGTTTAATCACAGAATAATTATTTTAATAGTCATTTTTTTCTTTTCTTGATAGCTTTTATCAGTTATTTAAAATACATTCTGGTTATTAAAATATACTTACTTGTCATTTTTAAATCATATATTAATTGTTTTTCATTTTATTTTATCCATCAGAGATAGGCACGTACTACCTCACAGTGTTGGAGTCACCTAAACCCATGTCTTTCTGGAGAACTGAGAAACCCAAATCAAGAACATACACTCTTGATCTGTCTTGGCAGCAGTGTGTTCAGTGGGAGAATGACACACAGTTGTGGTCTTTTAAGACTTGCCATACAGAAGACTCCCAGAATAAAAATGTTGTGAAATGCAGGTGAAGTATAGTTTGTAAGATGAAAACTTATAAAATAATAGGTATTTTATTATATAGAATACTTAAACTCAAATGCTTTTCAGTTCATGTTTCTTAGCTGATTCTTGTACTGTTGTGATGTAATCTGAACTTCTAAGACAAGAATAATTTTATATAGTTAAACTATTGCAATATTGAACTCTAGTTTTTAATATACTGTAATTTGTTGAGACACTGTGTAGCTGGAGTGTTTTTTGTTGATGTGTTTTGGTTTTAATTTAATTTAAGTATTTCATTTGTGCCAAGTGTTTCATTTTGTCATGTTATAATTTGTATATTCAAATTGTTTACTTCTTACGTATATCATATTTCTGTTGTAATTACAAATATTTCTTGTTTGTTTTGTACCTCTAGATTACTGATGATGGAATTTTGATGATTCAGAAACATTTAATAAATGCTTTCTATTATCACATTCATGTTGTGCTCTATCATTAATTTTTATCTTATGTAAAGTTAATACAAGTAATTATTTAGTGACAGAATGCTAACTGTGCTAATATATCCTTTTATTCTTGTACTTGTTAATATTACATATGCTGAAAATCATGTTCAAACAATATTCTGTTATTATGTCCCATATTTTTAGTTCCGAAATTTCACTAGCAATGAAGATAATATATATGTATATGTACACTGATAGTTTTGGTTTCTGTTCCAGGTGCTCCTTGATCACACCTGTTGGATTTTACCTGTATGTTCCTACATCTGTTGTCATGCATATACCGGTTGACGATCTTTTCGTGAAAAGTCCCCACCCTGCTCCTGTTATTGTTCTGCTTGTAATCATTGTCATATTTGTTGTTTTAATGGTCATACTTTTGACAGTGTGTAACCCTAGTGTAAAAGGCTCACACTTTTTCATCCTCAACAAGAATGACAGCCCTACTAGTCAACAGTATTTGGTTACAATAGCCACTGGGTCTTTTTGGGAGGCAGGAACAACTTCACAGGTGCATTTATTTTACTAGCTGAAAAAAAAAATCAAGATATTGCAAAAAAAAGCATTTAGATTTTAAAGGTAATATAAGCTGTAATGTATCGTAATTCTTTCTATTAGTAAGTTCATTCTGATTTTTTATTTTCCTGACGTTTATGCTCAATGTGGCATTACAGGTTTGTTTGGTTCTACATGGAGATAAATGGATGTCTGAGACAAAGCAGCTTCTCCCAGAAGAACATGAAAATTTCATTCAGCCTCTGTTTCTACGAGGGTCTCTTGTATCTTTTGTTGTGAGGTAAAGGATTGTTAGAATTTTTTTTGTACTTTAAGTTATTCTTGTGAGAACTTAAGCCTAAAGCATCATTTCAGAATTTGAGTAAAGTTCAGTCAGTAACATGTTTATAGCCACCAGTGGAATACTACAAGAACTTGAAAATAAAAAATTTTCAAACTATCCAGGCTAGCCTGATAAGATTGTGGTGTCCAGATGAACCTTCAAATGTTTATGCTACCCGTGTTTATTAACTCCTTGAACCAGAACGAATGCTGAAAGTGTCCAGCCAAAAATCTTGATTTACTTATCAGGTGGTGACAGCACCTGATATCATTTATGTCTCTAGCTGAAAACTAATCCAAACCATGTTATTATTCACCTTTCGTAAATAAACTGGAAATTTTATAAGGTATGGTGACAGTTATTAGGACACAATGAAAATAATTCTGGCAGAACATGCAAAAACTTGTGGTTTAAAGAGTTAAGAAGGATTTTTCTCATACAAGTAAGCTAGAATTTTTACATTCAAAATGAAAGGATGATAAAATAGATCCATTTATATTGAGAGATTAATAATAGTCATGTTGTTAATAAATGTCTGTCTATACCCTCTGTCCATGTCCTCTGAGAAAAGGATAACTAGAATTTTTAATATTTTAGCTACGGCAAGGTAAAATAGTGCCAGCTACACACCTTTCAGTTCATTATTATCTATATCAGGCACCTGATGATCTGCCATGTGATATTAAGTACAGAAGTTTGCAGCCATTTGATAGAGGTGGCTTTACAGCCGATGATATTTTGTTTCTATACGGTGTATTGTCATCACAAAAAGTAAGGGCAACCTGGCACTAATGTATACTTAAAATCAGATTAGTGATAAGATTCTGGGAAAATCACAACACCCAAGAGCATCTCATACATGATTTAAATCCAGTTAGCAATTCAAGTCATTTCCTTTATTCAGTTGTCTCTTCTTCAAGGTATGTGTTCACCAGTGTATTGCTATAAGAAAGGGTATTATTATCCAAGAAGCTTAAGTTGGAGCCATTTGCATCAGGCATAACAATGAAATCACAAAGAATTATAGGTCATGATTCTTATATATCATGTGGCATTAACATTATCATTCTATAGATGTACATACAGAGGCTGGAATATCCATCAATAATTAATTCTGTCCACACCAAACTTGCACCACTGCTGTATGTATTATGTTATTCTATGAAAATGGGCCTCGTTCCAGACTTTTTCCAATGTGAATCATCCTGTTATCTGTCTTCGAGGTAAAATAAAATGAAGGTTGCTTCACCTTTCATTTTGGTCCAGTGGTCATATATTTGGCATTATTGCAGACAACCTATTTCATGCCTTGCTGAAAGTATGAAGGCCTGCCTTATGAAGCATATTTCGAACTATGTGTACATTCACACAGCATTCAGTTTTGTCTATGAGCATTGTGTTGAGTACACTGTAACTGTGGCAAGTGGTCATCCAGCAACTGTACCATTGTTGATAACCATGTTTTTTGCTGTTACAAAACATCTGATATTTTTATACGTGTGTGTATATATCTTGTATATTTCATTTAGCTCTTCAGTAAGAATATTTTACACCTATTCTTAATATGAAGAACCAACTTTTTTATTAGTATACTTGGAATTAAATCTGTTCATTACTGTCCAGTGATATTTAAAAACATATTTTATGTGAAATTATGTATATTTACAATTTTAGGTGTGCTTAAGGTATTTTTGTTGAATGTGGAAAAAACTGTCAATATTACATTGTTATTTTGCTTACAGATAATTTTATCTTGTTACAAATAAAAGTATCATGAGTTTTAAATTATGTCACTTACAGCACAGCCAAACCACTTGGACAGCTCTGGAAGGTTCAGGTGTGGCACAACAACAGTGGTTCCTCTCCATCTTGGTATTTGAAAGACATCACCGTAACTCATCTAAATACCAGTGAGTATTTAATGTGCACAAATCTTTGTCAGTACATATTTCATTTAGTTTCAGCTCTTTTTTTATTTTCATACATATTATAAACTATGAGAAGAGGAATTTAATTAATGAGCTTAGGCTTGTGCATTCACTAACATTTTCCCAAATAAATTATTTTAAATGGACAACACCTTTGTTAGGTTATGTTTTTGGTAAGTTGATGGATGACTAGTTGTTGAAGTAGTGGTACTTTTTCTATCATCATAATTGAGGAATTTATCATAATTAATCCTTTTTTTTTTTTCAGCTGAATAATTTTCAAAATTGCTGTGTCTGTTTTCCTGCTGTTTACAGGATTTAATATTGTTCATTTTGTTTGTGTATTTAATAAAAGTCGCTACTAAGCATACCTAATTAGTATTGGATTGCTCTTAATGCAGATGAAACTTTCTACTTCACCTGTGAGCAGTGGCTCTCTGTGGAAGAAGATGACGGACAGGTGGAAAGAGAAATTCCTGTTTGTGAACAGTCGCCAAGTTTTTGGGAGGTGCGTATTATTTCATTGTTTCTTTGTAGTATGCATTTATCAATTTCATGCTTTTGAAGTTTTAATATTTAACTCTTTTAAAATATTGTGTTTAGTATATTTTAGGTTTCACTATTTGCAATAAAAGATGCACAAACATGCCTTCCTTCTCATTTTTGGAAAAGCAATGAAACAATAAAGCTTTTCCTTTTTTTAATTCCTCAGATTAAACTTTTATTCAAATATTTTTTGTTCTAAACATTTATCATGAAAACAGAGAAAGTGTTTTATTGGTAATTTTTGTTCTTGGGTCCTGAGAATTGACACATCTTTCACTAATCCTAATATTATGTCACTAGTATGACCCTTCTTAACTGTTTTTTCTGATTTAATGGCCACCACAAGTCTCTATTTTTTCATGCTTAAGCTACAAGTGGGTACATTTTTTTTCAAAGATGAAACCCTTAACTGCTTTCAATTTTTACCTTGTATTGTTTTGAAGAATATTAATAAGATTAGGAAATGTTAAAAGTGTTCTAGAGTCATCTTGTACTATCTTATTAGCAAAATTTCAAGCTTCTACACTGGTAAGAAAGGATTATTTTGCTTGTTAACTCATTCATTAACTTTAATACATCTTGCTTCCAGTAGAAAAATGTACTAATTTTAAAAATGGATCTGAATTCTGAAAATGATTCACTGATTTACATTAGAAATATGATTTGAACTAACTTGTTTTTGCCCTTAATTTTGGCTCTTAATTAGTAAGTAGATAACTGTTAAAGCAGCAGTCCTCAAAATTAGCAACAAATTATGACAAAGCCATGGCATTTTATGATAAAGGTCAAGTACAATATAAAAACAAATGCTGCCATTAGTAAAGAAACTTAGAAATTTTTTCTCTTTTATTTAATGTGTTGCATATAAACTCTCTCTCTTGATGTTATTTCTAACTCTTGTATCAGTCTGTTCACATGATTTTACCATGTACATCTACACTGCTTGAGGAAAGGCCATGAAAGTATTGATATTTCTCTATTTAGTAGTTTTCTACATTATATTATTTTAATTTGTAAAACATGTGTTTTAATCAGAATTTGATACAAATACAATACTAACATGCACTCTGTTGAACCAGGTGGTTTCATTTTGGATTATTGCATGTTTTAGTATCAGAGGTGACAGTAAAGCTTATTACTTAAAATTGATAATAGCTTGAAATATTTTACATAATTCTTCATACAGAATAAACAGAAAATTTAAGTTCAGTTTTATATTACTTGAAGAGTAAAGAATATTAGTGTTTAAAAACCAAGTATTAGGAGAGATTTACTGTATTTTACTTTCATTAAACAACACGACTCGTTCTTTTCTATTTATTAATAGCATTTGATTTTGACTTTCTGTGAAAGTTGAATATCATATTGGCAGAATGTAACAGACTTTATGCCTCAGGTTTAACTTAGAAAGCTGCCTATAATTTCTCCAAAAATATTTAATCAGTATCAAGAATCTAATAGAAGTTTCTTACCTTTGTTAGGACACTTGCTTTGAACCCTACTCATATATTAGGTATGTCTTTAATTGAAAGAATTTCTTCAGAATTGACTACAGTATTTTTCATGGTACTCTCTTGATTAATGCATTATGATGGCATTTTTTGACATGGACTTAATATCAATATATTTCAAGGAATGAAGCAAGTATTATTTGCATTAGCAAACACAGGAGTTTTGTTTGAATTGCCCTTTATTCATCACAAATGTATAGGTTTCTTTCTCACTAATATCATCATTTTGATAATAAGGGGAAAAAATCGTACTTTTCAGTCTTACTGAAAGCTCACTTTATTATAAAATTAAATATCAAGACACTTTACTTTAGTTGTAGTTTTTACATATTTTCACCTGACTTCATATATGTTTAACAACAAAATTTGTGATAACTAGGAAAAAAGGTTTGGCGTGGCCTAGTGATTAGCATGTTAAGCTATGGATTAAAGAGTCTGAGTTTCAACAAATTATGCCACTGAATACACACCACATTTCAGTTGTGAATGCATTATAAAGTAACAATCAATCCAATTATTCCATTCAAACAGCCAGAAAAATCTGATGTAGTAGTATGTGGTGCTGACTGTCTTCCCTCTATTCAGTAGTTCAAAATTAGTTAGGGTTATGCCTGAACCATATGGGTTTCTAATCGCACTATTTATAGTTCATATGTATGTAAGGTGCCATTCAGGTTGAAAACTCCAATTAATATACAAATTAATGTTGTAAAGAACTGCAACAGGAAAAATCATAATACAAAACTTGTACTTTAGTACTGATTAACAAACGTTCTAGAGACGTAGTCTTTGTGGATTGAGACTGCTAAGTTTTATATCAAAATTTACTGTTATTATAATTCTCTGTTGAAAGATATGTGATTTACTATATTACCTGGAAGTCAGTTCTTTTTCACACATGTGAACGTTTAATGTAGATCTCCTAACTCTTATGAGTTAGGCATAATTGTTCCAATTTTTCTTTCATCTTATGCCTGTACGAATTGTTATTTTGTGATTTTATGCAAAATTCCAGAATATTTTCACCAAACTTTTTTCTACTAATAATTTTCCAGAAATAATTCACTGCTCTCCATCTCAATCTTACAAACATTTGAAATTAAAAAAGCATGTTAGCAGTAAGTGTCTAGGGTGTGCTGATCATTTTTTGAGAGGAAAATGGCAGAAAAATATAGTTTTTATTCATACCCAATGATTCAAATTTCTAGATAGCAGAAGTTTAGGCAAGAGTATTTACAAAAGTTCAATGATATTGTATCATCCTCAAAGGGTATGAATTATGTAAGATGTACAATTTGTGTTTGTAATTTCTCCACTGCTCACAGAGGTGAAAATGACTTCAAAAACATCTCAACACTACTAAACACCAGCAAAATTGTTTGGGGACATCTGGAATTAATAAACTGGACTCATTTTTCATACAATCCAATATAAAATCAGGAAATATATGATAAGAGTGGAATGTTTATTCACCCCTTCATTGTGGAACACAATCTTCCTTTAGAGGTTTTGGACCATGCTTCAAATTTTTTTACCAAAAATGTTTCCAGATTCGGAAATCACTAAACGATACAGATACTCTAGAATCAACACATCTGCAAGTAGTTGGAGAAATGACCAGTGACACCATTTTCCTTGTCCTGGTAGGGATTACTATTTTTAAAATTTTAATGTTGACAGGTATGTTTAATGTACTAAACATATTTAAACCAGCCTTTAGGAAACTGAAATTGTTTTTTACAGAAATTCTATCAACAACTTATGGAAAATCTTAATAATCACCACATGTGGAATTCCATTTTCTATCATTCTCCTTGCTCAACCTACACATCAGTAGAGAGACTAGCCTGCTGTTTGTCCGAAGTCTTGACTGGAGCTTTCCTTACTGCTCTCTGGTATTATTACTCAGTTGATCAGGTAAGGTTCACAACTCTCTACTATTATTGTGGAAATTCTTTTTTTCCATGTGAAATGATTGTGACTTTCACACTTTAGGCAAGTGCTTTACCAGAGGCATTGAAACTGGGGGTGCTTGTAATACTTCCACTTTTACATATTTAGCAGCTCCTTATATTTTCAATTTTTCATAATAAATATGTACATGTCTAGCCAAGCACACCCACTTTGCAACTCCTTCCTACACCACTGTTTACCACTTGAGTTAAAGAGTTAACCCATAGTAAGACCATTTTTTTTTTACAACTTAAACTACCATATTATCATATAATTCTTCAGGAAAAAACCGAGACATTCTGAGGTTTGTATTTGCCAAAAAAACCTATAATTTTCTTGTGTCCTAACATACCAGATGAAATTGTACCCATGACCTTCCCACACTTTGACATAATATGGGTGAATAATGGTAATATGCATATGGAAGGTGTAGTCAACAAACCATAAAGCTGTTTTACTTCAATTTTGTTTTTTGTATCTGGTATGTGATAATAATTTTAATTTGTTATTGGGGGATTATTTTTATATTTACTTTTTTTGGGGTCATTTAAAATTGGAGGGAGGAGGAATACTTAAACTTCAGTGCTGGATTAGTTTTTTTAATGGATTTGTCAATCTCTGGTACCTACATGTAAAGTGATATTTACAAGTACCATTGTTATGTGTGATAAACTACAATCATTTTGCATCATCCACTTAGTAAAGAAGATACACCAAACTACTGGTTTTATTGTCTAGCTAATTAAGTACAGTACATTACAATGATACCCTATTGCTGGTTATTAAATAAGAAGCTTCTACCATTGGAATACTAATATGATATCCTAAGAGATGTAAAATCTTTGTAAGTATACATTTCCCATTGCAATCTTGAAAATAAATCTTTTGGGGAAAATACTTTTCAAACTTTATTTTACCAGATAATAAAATATTTTATTTTATAAGTATAGATTTTATTTCATGAAAGTGTTTATTTTTGTGTTCTCCAGATATTGCAGGAGTTTTTGAAATGGCAACTAAAGTGAGTCATCAACTTATTGTTAATAATATTTGTGGTAAAACAGCTCTTCTATTCCCATCATTTTCAGAAAGGCCTAACAAAAGTGGATATTTCTTGACTTTGTGTAAGTTTTCCTTATATAGTTTATATTCTTCTTTAAAAGTAAATTTTTATTTTCCAGAACTACGATATCTTTTTAGTGAATGACCTTTCTCCAGAGCAAGTTTTTTCTGGTTTTATAATTGCTGTTGCTATGGTAATACCTCATCAATGTGTGGCTGTGTTGTTTCATCTTGGCCGCCGTCCATTACGTACATTTCCTACTTGGTTAAGAGTTTTGTGGACTGGTTTATCTGAAAACCACATAAAACTATGCCACAAGTACAAGCTTCCTGTCCACAGTGAAGGAGATTCTTCCTCCAGTTCTTATACCAGTAGCATTGAAAACATAGATAGCTCTCAGTTCTGGAGTAGTGAGGTGGAAACGCAGGAAGATGATGATGAAGAGTCATACAGTGATGATGAGAATAGTGTCAGAAGTACCAGTTGTGAATCAAGGTAGTAATAAAACTGTTGAAAGTTACAAAACATTATCTTAGATTTGAAAAGTAATACTTTATTAATGTATATATTTGTGGAATTTCCTGTAAATGGATATTTTATTTAGGTAATTACTTGTAGGTTAGTTTATTTACTTAATTAAAAAATAATAATAATAACCAAAACTAGTTTTGGTGTTGTAAGAATTTTAACCATATTTTTTATTTATTGATAAAAATAGCTGTTGTGTTATAGATTTATAATTTTAGAAGTAGTCATTTATCTTAATGTATATTTTTGAATGAATGGTTTTTAATTTTTTTGTTGTACTTTAATGTTTAGTTTTGTTTTCTTCATAAAACTTCTTATACAAGATGCTGACAAAATTCCACGAGTCCACAGACTTTAAATTTTTTTTAGCTTCAGACCCCCAGAGAACTTTAATATGGACAACCTGACTGAGGACCCCAACCTAATGATTGAATAGAATTTTGAGAAAATATTTATTGCAATATATAAAATTCTCATGAGTATATTTCCACATCTGCTGAGGCTCTCCAGAGATTGTTCAGATCCCAGTTTTGGAACCACTGAACTAATTGGCTTATTAGCTGGATCTGATTAGAAAAGCATTCAAGCTAAAAATATAGATTCCAAACCTTTGAAAGATAATATCAATGATTTTGGTCATTTTTCTTGATTATTTTATACATGTTTCTTATAGCAGTTTATGAAACAAAGCAAAGCTAAATTATTGCAAAGTAAAGTAAATGTAAAAGCAAATTTAGCTGAACACCCAGAAACATCTGAATGTTCACAAAGTGAGAAGCACATGGTTTTAAACGAACTGCTCATGTGTATTTTAGACTTAAATAAGTCGAGAAGCCCATAGCAATTGTATTTAGTGTAATGTTTATTTTTTAGGAAATTACTCACAAGTTAAGTATTGTGTGAAATACTTTGTAAAAATAAAAACTAAAGTTGAAATCGAAGCCAGTCGTTACATGATGACAGTGACATTATGCCATCATGTACCATACTCGTTGCATCAAGAAGTTTGTGATAAATGTTCCAAATGGACAAATGCAAGCATATTATTTATATAGATTTTCTTTACTCTTAGATGAATTGTTGATAATTCTGACATGAAATGCATAATAGCATGTTCAATGACACTCTGTACAAGGTCAAAGCATGCAAACTTTGACCTCCATCCATGCACATAAGGTTAACAAGATCTAGTAAATAACTTAGTAGTTTTGTCACAAGAGATCTGATTTTTGATTCCATTCATTTTATTTACGTTCACAATACCTAGGAATTAAAATTTGATCTGTTACATCCCAAAGTCTCATTTTGTAAATTTGTTCTTCAGTTATCTGGTAGTTATAGTTTTAAAATACTTAAGTGCAAATGTATATGAGAGCTGGCATTCATATTATGTAATCATATATCCTTTATCTTGTGTATTTTTCATACATTATGTTATCTACTGTTTTGAAAGTACTTATAATTTTCTTCCCATGTAATTCTGAATCAAGTTCTGCTTGATCTATCTTTCAGAATTGAATCTGTGTATTTTGAAACCCGTTTTACTAAATTATTTTTATTCCAGTTTTCATGCTTATGTACATGATTATCTCTCAGACAATCCCTATCTCCATTGGAGGAGTCATTGTCCCAGCTACGTGCCATTGAATCTTGGGCTCAGAGTAGACATAGACATGGTGAACACACCAAGGGAAAAGCCAGTGTAACAAGTAAACCTGACTCCCTTATAGATGTAGTCAACACAAAACGACGAAGTTCACTATTAGAGCAATTGATTGATGATACATCTGCCACTTTGAGGTCACTTCGACTTCGACCTGGAACAAATAAAAAACAGAAGAGTGAAACACAAGAACCAATGTATGACAGTAACAACAGTCTTCACAGTGATCAATGTAGGTGTCTTTTTTTTTTTAAGCTATTATTTGAGTAACAAACTAGCTTTAATTTTTTTAATTTTACATGTTCATTAAATGTTTCAAATGCTCACTTATACATCTCGAAACAAATATGCAAAAATTTTGACAGTTGTAAAGATTTTTCTAAGCAAATTTGTTTCAGACATAACTTTAATTTTTCAGATACTTTCTAACCTGTCTAAATTGATGTAAAAATGATATGAATAAACTCAAAACAATTGCAATAATTATTCATCGACCAATGAAAACAAGAAGTTTCACACACATATAAATCATGTGCTTAAAATAAAGTAACAAGTTACGTATTTTAAAACTAAAATTTGTCCTAGTGGCAAAGGTACTTGTAGAAGTAGGACTCGCAGAAAAGTAAGGGATACTAAATTCAGATTTACTCTGTTTTCTTTTTTTAACTTAGTTTATGGATTTAAATTACAACATTCACAAAATTATGATTGTACTGTATTATGCTTTTTTTTGCCCATTTCTTTTGAAACATTGTATACATTATATATATATATATATATATATATATATATATATATAGTG